AATCGAATAGTTTAAATATGTTTTATCACTATATATTTTTCAAATAATATAAAATTAAGCTATTGTAATAAAATAAGCTATTGTAGTTAACTATTGTTTAATAAATTATATTCCCAAGCTAATTTGTAAATTTTATATTTCGCATATCATTTAGTGTTATGATAGTTAATCCATAGTATATTTATTTGGTTGTACGATCTTCAGTGTTCGGTAATTTCTAAGTTCAGGTGATTTGATAATCAATGGTACATTTTCCAGGTACTATAATCTATCATTGAGCCATGTTATTGATCTATATACTACTGTGACGACAGATATTATGATACCAAATATTGTGATTGATCACATGAAATATACATGAAATGCAATAAGTTACATTTGTAATCGAGAATAGTATTTTGGATCCAGAGGGGTAGTATAGAAGGATGTAAGGAGAAATTACACATCCTTAAAAAAATAAAACATGGTTGGAGAAATTAAATATATCATTGTAAATGACATTTAGTAGCCTTAAAGAAATAATAAGTGCAATGTCGCATTTGTAAGCGATGAATTTTATATTGTTATCTGAGGAAGTCATGTGGCATATGACTATGGCTACTCCAAATTAGGGTAACCCAGCCCACTTAGGCTATTTCGGCTATGTAGGCTACTATGGCTACATAGAGCATGAAGGCCATATCAGATAAGTATAAGTTGGGAATGAAGTAGAATGAAGTAGTAGACATAGTAGACTTAGTAGTTGTAGCAAACATAGAATAACAAATGTAAATAAAGAATTTTAAGATAAATAAAGGTTGAAAAGGCCATAGAAAAGGAGGAAGACCCTGAGTACTTTGCTTTATTAAAATAATAACTGGCCCCTTACATTATAATAAATACATAAATATTTCCTTTAATATAATAACTAATCGCTAAATCACAGACCATAAAAACTAGCTTCTTGCAATTTATCTGTTCTAACCCGTAATATTGTAAAACCCTATCTGGCTGTTGTATCCTAAAGTACCAGGATAAGCTGTGGTCACTCAAGTTCAACTATCCGAAGAAGTGTGATTGTTAAGGTTGTACATGTTGTCTAATTACCCAACGTAGTGAGATGATAGAGAATTAAAGTTAGTAAAAGCTCAAGATTAAGAAAGCACAAGACAAGAAAGAAGAAATACTCACCTACAGACCCAAACCACCAATCAAATCTAAACGCCTCTTGTCAACTAAGCCAACCATAGATTACACAAGATTTTGGATTGTGGAGCGACTGAATTACTGTGATGCCTGATTTCAATATTATAAATAAAGGCCGAAATGGCCCTCTGGAGCAGTATGCTTCGTTTGCTTTATTAAATAATAAATACCAATACACTACATTGTACATAATAAACACTAACACTATTACCATTACAAACTCTGTGAACCCCTATAACATCGCTGTTCAAGCTCTTGTACACGTGACTTATCATACTTGTATTTATTGACCCAAAGTGACCGAAAGCCTTAACTGTCCACAAGCCAAATATAACACACTCTTTCAAAAAGGTTACTTATTGTACATTACACGAGGTTTGGAAATGTGGAGCGACAGAGTCGCAATCTTCCAAACCCAATACTACATAATAAATCATAACTCTAACTGCATCAAAAAAGTAATTCTAAATTTAACACGGTGTAGAACCTGAATGGACCCTGGCCGTTCAGGGTGGGAGGCTACCTAATTAGGGAAGGAGTCGATCACATCTGTCGCATGTGACCGATCAGTTGCATGTGACGCATATGTCGAATGTGGCGGATAGCAGCGATCAAGTAGAAGAGAAATATTAGTTGGATATGACTGATTAATAGTATTAGCAATATCAGTCGTATCCATCGCATAATGTACATAAAAGATTTTAATTATAAATAAAGACTGAAAAGGCCCTTTGGGAAGGAGAACTTCCCCTTTGACTACCAATATATAACACATATAATACATGATCACCCATAATAAAACTGCTTTTAAAATAATACTACACGAATAACTATTAAATACAATTGTTGTTACATAAACCATTCCTAACTTGAGACTCTGTAAAAGTACACTAGTACATTTAACCTACTTAAACCCGAAACATCCTGCACCAGTAGACCCAACTATTTTCAGGCAAACTACTCGACAAATCTAACATACCTCTTTCGATCCAATTTACCAACCCTAAAGGTTATACAAGAGATCTGACCAACTCAACATTTTACGATTACAATGGTTAATTTATTCTTGCAATTTAGCTATCTAGTTGTTAATTTATTAGTTAATTGTAAAAAATAAATACATTAATCAATGCATTATAACTGATAAAATATAACGCAAATTATTTACAAATTTATTCTTTTAAGTTATATAAATAGCTAAGAAATATTAAAAAAAAAATTAAATTTTAAGTTCCCAAAAAAACCTACATGACAAATTAAAGAGCATACCTTTTTGATCTATTTTTTATTACTTTCAAATTCGAATAACTAATAATGAAAGAGGAGTTGGATTTTGAAATTCATCACATTCATATAATAATTTATATTAAAATGCAGTATCTATTTATGTAACAATACAAACATATAAACAACAGTTATAATTAGTTTAATTAGAGGTCTTTACATATCTTTATTACAATTAGTTGATCAACATTCCAGCATAGCCAGCTTTCACTATGATTGGCTAATACATCACTTTTTGCTGTTACTGGAGATTCTATCCAATCAGAGGTGGCATTGATCATTAAGAGAAGACATGATTTAATAATAAAAATGCCTATTGCAAATGAAATAGTATAAAATGTTTCTCACTAAGTACTCGTATTACCTCACCAATCTCTGGTTTACTTTGGCTGTTTATAAAATAAAAAGCATACTTTAAGACTTCTATATAGCAACCTTTGCCAATTCGTATTCATGGCACAATATGTCTTTCATATTATGCACCATTGCACAAAATTATCCAATCGGATTAAATGTCTGTTATGCTGCTTATAGGCGTAACATCGGCCAGAATTAGTATTAGAGTTAATGTTAGAGAAATGTATTTTAATAATGCCATTTATTGTTGTCCAGTAGCAATTGCTGGACTGTGTGCAATTAACATGTACCCATAATAAATCTAAAAACATGTCATATACCAATATACTTACCCTAAAGTTAAGTACATGCAATTGGTACATGTTCGTAGACCTGCAAAATCTTGTGATCACATGCATAATGTACTTAAAAAATATGTTCAGGAAACTTTGCTAAAGATATTAAACTTTAATCTAACCTTTTATTACAGAACAATGACCTTTAAATATACTACATTGACAAAAACACCTATTCCTACCTGCTTTACTGATTTTATACTTGGAACTAGTAATGCCGACAATATTCTTGGTAAAACTGGATAAAAATATGAACTAACTATGTGATAGGTTTATACTATTAATATTTTTAACACTTTCGATTAAGCCGTTAAAATATCAAAATATAAACTGATAAAATTACTGATACAACTTTATACGTATTCTTGCGATAAACAATAAACTAATAAACAGTTTTTATATCTAATTGAATTAACATTTACATTGATATGTATTGAGATATTCTAAATCGGCGAGTCTGTCACTAATCGAAGGTTGGCTCCATGTAACATTCAGACAGCTTTCGGTTGAAAGAGGCATGTAGATTTGGCGAGCGATTTTGATTTAGGTCTGGCTTATCCTGGATAGTCTACACTACGTCAAGACTATCACTCTAATTCTTTTAATACTGCAGTATTCCTCACTACGTCGGAAATTACTGGCAATCAGGTTGGGATTTACTACTATTACAGGTTAGGTTTATTCTTTAACAATGGTTCTCTATAGTCACTCGTAGACGAACCTTTCATTCGATTTATTCAGGTAGGGGAAATCTGCTTTATTATATGAGCAAAACTACATATTATTTATAACTAATTCTCTATTTATTTTTAGGATGCCAATAATCATTATAATAATTATAATGATTATAATGCTTGTATTGATTATAATAATTATAATCAATATAAGCAATATAATTAATATAATCATTATAAGTGGTTATCCCAAGTATGATAAGAGATCTTTATACTCCAGGAAGGCATGACTTGAGGTCAAACAGTGAAGATCTATAACAAAATTGGCCATTCATGAATTATGGGTTTTGGGTCTAACAATATGCTTGCAATAAAACAATAATAAATTGTATTGTTTTTATATTTAATTAAATTAGCACTTACATTGTATAAAATTTTATAAAGCTAATTATTGTTAGTCTCATTTTCTAAGATCTTATCAACAATATCCAATGCTTCAAAGTTCATATTTTCATAGCCTTTGTTTGATGCTAGTCTAGTTTGTTATTTAATATTTTTATAATGCGATTTCATGCTATTAAAATTAAAAGGAAGACAAAACAAGATTTGCCATATCTTTGATATTAAGCCTTATATCAAGAGCCATAAATGTATCTAAATACCAAAGTAAAAACAGATTGGAAATACTTTAATTCATAATATAAAGTTCATTATTATTGAATATATCATTTGTGCTAAATATATCTTGTAAGAATGAATCAAACAGAATTGTTATATTAGTACATACAATTCTTTTTCTGTTTATTTTTTTCATAATGTTCATTTTTTTTTTAAATTCTGAAAGCTAATACATCTATAATTTGGTTACTAATTAATATGATTAATTGTAGAGATGAGCAAATCATAGTTTTGCCAAAAATTCCACATGGGATTCGCGAATTGTTACCAAGATTACTGTAAGTTTGGGCTAAAATTATAGCATTGGCCTGAATTATCCAGAACATCACGTAATTAACCCCACGCTTGCTATCACTAATTAATTGTAAGTTGATTTTTCTAATATCTATAAAACTATTTTAGAATAGAAAAATTTCATTAACATGCTTGTGATAGTAAAATTGAAAACATTTTGTGTAATGTATATTATATATCAACTATTATATAAATGTTACCTCTTTTTAAAGATCAAATTCTGGAATCCACCAGTATGCCTATAGTTTGTGGTAGAATTACTGAATTACAGCATTATACTATGTGGTAGAATTAATTTTATCACAGTACCTAATTGGTATAAATATTATACACTGTAATGCCATAAATGTAATGCTATAACTATAATGCTATAGCTGTAATACTGAAACTGTAATGCCATAATGCCATAACACCTTACCTCACCAAAGACCTACATAATTTTTAACTAGTGTTGGGTTCGGAATATTGCAACTCAGTCATTCCACAATCCAATATCTTGCATAATGTATGATATGTAACCTTTCCGAAAGAGAGTGTTAGATTTGGCTAGTGGGTGATTAAGGCTTTCAGTTACTTTTGTCAACAAAGACAAGTCGAGTAAGTTATATGAACAAGAACTAGAATGAACAATGATGTTATAGAGGTTCACAGAGTTGATAATGCTAATAGTTTTAGTGTTTATTAAGGGTAATATAAGGTATTTGGAACTTATTATTTAATAAACAAAAAGAGCACTTTGCTCTTAAGGGCCATTTCAGTTTTTATTTATAATACTAAATTTATTATTCACCAATGTGACTTATTTATTAAAACTAATTAAAACTATTTATATATATTTATTTAATATCCTCTTATTTCCTCTTTTTATTTTTTATTTACCTCTTTGGATCTAAAATATCTTTTTTGATCTTAAATATAATTTATTACACTTTTTGCATTTTATGCATTTTTCATGATTGATTACAATTGGTATTATGGCCTAAACTCATTACTGAAGTCTGAAACATTTCAGATTTTGAGCTCATAATCTGAAATATCTAAAACTAAGTAAAACATTCCAAAAAGACAAAATATTCAAAACTGTGAAAATATCTAAAACTGAGCAAAATATCTAAAATTGTTAAAATAGCTAAAACTGATAAAATATCTAAAACTAAGTAAAACTTCTAAAACTAGACAAAATATTACAAACTGGATGAACCTAGATGAAACTTAATCTTATTTCTATCAAAATCAATATATTACATGATGCAGACTTCAATATGATGATTTTAAAAAGTTATATGACTGTTGCATTTAAAATTAACTAATAGAATTTTTATAAATCCTATTGGTTAATTTTAAGTGCAGCAGTCATATAATATAAACTGATTTTAAAAAGTCACATTACTGCTGCATTTAAAATTAACTAATAAAATTTTTAAAAATTCTATTGGTCAATTTAAGTATAACAGTCATGTGACTTTTTAAATCATTATAAACAACCCTAGCATCACTCTGAAAAATGATAGTCAGATGTATTATTGGGTTATATATATATATGATTTATGATCAACAATTATTGTTATCTTAAATATTATTATATTATAACTTATATTATAATTAAAAATATACTATAAATACAATATTTGTTTATTTTTTTCTTCAATTTCATTTTTTTATTTTAAGCATTTTTTTCTGACATAAAATTGCATTTGCTTCATAATATAAGTTAAAAATCTTTTATTCTTGATCTTGGTGTTTTTTTTTTTTTTATAACTCTTTTTTTTTAAACAGTTTTTTTTTTTAATTATTATAAATATTAATGGTGTTGTCTCAGAATTCAGTAAGTCTATCACTAAACTAAGCTAACTTTCATGTAATCTACAATGGCTAAGTCAAAATAAGTATGTTAAATTTGGCAAGTAGATTCTCATTTATAGATAAGTACTGGTCTCTTCTCTTGAGTCTTTCTTTAACCTACTCTTCTTCTAATTTTTTATATTCTTTTATTGTCTCAACTGGGATTTCACTATGTCAAATCAGGGTTGGAACTCTTCTTGGGTCTTTTGTTATAGTTAACTAGGCATGTGACTAGGCAAGCAATTAATTACAGATTTAGTTTATTGTTTAGATCAATGGATATTGTTAGACATAGAATTTATAATAATAACTGATTATATAAGATAACACTTTTACTTATACTATAGGTTAGATAGTTAGTTTATATTTTGCAATTGTAATCACTAGCTTTTTGGCTTGGTTAAATTGCTCTTTATTTATAATAAACATTCTTGTCTATTTATATTATAAGATTGTCTAATATATTAAACATATTTAATATATTGTATATATATAATTTATCATATATATTACATTTATTTAGTATATCACACTTATGCAATATAGCAGATATATCAAATATATCAAACATATTTAATATATCTAATATATCTAATATTTCTGACATTTGGAATCTTCATCACATGTAACAGTTATGTTTCAGATCTTACAATAGATATGTTTTAATTAGAGAATTTTTACTTAGATTTATTATATCTAACCAACAAGTTGAACAAGTCAAAACATGTATATGATACCATTTTATCCAAAACAACAGAGAATTTTTAAATGAAAAAGGTATTTTATCAAGCAAGTGTTTACAATATTAAAACAATATCAAACTTTTATATTTAAAAAATAAAAACTAAATACAATAATTAATCATTTGAATATTACTAAAATAATATATAGTTCTTTAATTTTATTAAATAATACTAATGAATTTTATGAGAAAGAAAATGAGAGATTCAAAACAGAACTTAATGTTGAATTATCATCTTTTCTTAATACAATTTTAGATAAAAATTTGCAACAGAAAAATACTAATTTTGAAATTAGTCATTGTATAACTAATCTGATTTCTGAAGGTGATGGTCATTTGTAGATTTACCATGACAAAAATTAACAAAAGAACTCTTTTTTTGCAGTTTATTATTGTAATTGTTAGATTGAACTTGGAAAATAATAAGCAAAACATCCTGAATTAAATAAGCAAAGAGATATACCTACTTATTTGGAATAATTTTATTGTGAAGAAAAAATAAAGATTAAAATTTTTTCAAATTTAGATTTCATTAAAATTATTTATTCTCACAAAATATTACATCTATGACCAAGATATATTGCACTGACATTCAAAATTAAAATTTTTATTAAAAGTAATATTGAGTTTTCTGTATCATAACTTTGGCATCAAATCCAAGAAAATTGTATTAATGGGTATAAAAATTTAACAATTTAATAAACATATTACTGGTAGTTTATTGAGACTTATAAAAAATATTGTCAAGATTTAATTCTTTATTATTAGCTAAACATTTGTTAGAAGAATTTGATCAAGAAATTATTATAGACAATGTTAATTTTTTTATACTCGTACTTAGTTTTTTAATATTATTATTCAATAGACTAATTAATAATAAATTCAATGCAATTGATGCAACATATAGTATGAATAGTTTGGCATATGAATTATATTGTACTATAGGTATAATTGATGATACTGGGTTTTTATTAGTTATCTTTTAATTTTAACTAGAAGAAATTAAAATATAACAGAAATTCTTTTTCAGTAGATGCAAGTCTTAAAAAATTATTGCTTAAATAATTTTTTTTTATCCTTATAAATAAAGACTTTTCTAAAATAAATGTTGCACAAGCTGTATAGCCTAAAGCTCATTTGCAGTTATATATTGGCATGTATACTAGGCAATTAAGAATCAATTAGTATTAAACAAAATAAATAGATACTATAACTATAATCCAAAAAAGCATGCATAAAACATGTATTGTAATAGATTCTAATTGAAAAATTATGAATAATTCAAACTTGGTGTTTTATTTCTTAAAGTTGTAAAAAGCTGTAATGGACCTTGTGAAAAATCATTCAACCCATTATATGCTGTTACCAAAACTTAATAATACATTTGTTGAAGATCCAAATAAAATTTGAAAAGAATGTGTTAATGAAATAATGCAATATTGCAAGAACAATAACTTGCTTCAACTATGAATTTATTTTTGAAAAGAGTAGTATTTTAAAGATAAATAGAATTTATAGGCATAGGCAGTTGATATAAATGTTAGCTATATTAAAACTATCATAACTGTAGAATCTTATTGGTGACAAATTAAGCATGATTATTTATACAAATTTTATAAATTGCATATTAATTATTTATACTATATTCTTATAAAAAAAGTTATTAGTTGGTATTTATATTGAATTCAATTGCTTGAACAAGGTCATTGCTTAGTACCATGGTATAAAAAGTTTAAGAAAGAATAGAAATAACTTAAAAAAATTAGTACAAGCAAATAACAAGTATTTTACAAATCTGGCTAAAAGATATGTGCATGTCTTGTATATATTTAAAGTTAATTTTTTTTATCTAAACATTTAATTAATTCAGTAGTAAAAGCTGATCCAATATTCTTTAAAAAGATAAATTAATTGACTTTTAAATTTTAATTATACAGTATGTATGTATTTATTTAATTTAATATTACACTTTTTATATAAATGCAACAGAATGGGCATTATTCAATAATTTCTTCTTATGATAGTAAACTAGTAAATATGTTTTATTTAAAAAATTCTATAAATCAATCTTCAAGTATTTTATCAATTCAAGAAGATTCAATTGTTAGATATGAAGATAGTAGTGATGAAGAAGAAAACAATTATAAAACAACTATGAATTATTTGCATAAAATGTTAAATAAGGTATCTATAATTATGATTCTATATTTATATTATTTATTAAGTTCTAATTTTTCTGTAGATAAAAAAACTTTTAGAAGAATTCCACAACAAAGCAAAAGGACATTTATGGTTAAAGAATGTTCACTCAAATTTCAAATTATTGAAAAAATGAACAATGATATTACAGCATTAGATAATCACATAACAATGCCAAAAACTTGAAAGAACTTTAATAGGAATATGATATACTGGGTTTAAAAATTATTTTTTAAAAATTTACATCTTTTAATGTAACTTTTTTTTTGTAAAAAAAAAAAAACATTTATAAAGCATAAGCACTATAGAAATAAATAGTATTTAGATAACATTTAATATGGCATTTGAGTAGTATTTGAATCTGCTATATAAATTTCTAAAATAATCTTGAATTATGTTATAAACATGACATATGTTTTGCAATAATTAAAGAGTATTTATGCAGAACCTAGTTTATTAAAAGCATTAATCTAATTGCTAACATAGTTTTTTATAGTAAATAAAAAATAAATTTATAAAAAAACTGAATTATTTCAATTATTTCAATTAAAGTTTTGAAATGATCTAAACTACCAGTAATATGCATCTGAATAATATATGCAATCTGATAATCCATTTGGCTACCATTTTTTTAGGATGATATTAGGGTTGTTAATTATTATATTAGAATTTGCATTATATAATATGTTGATTTTAATAAAGATAAAATCAAGTTTTACCCAGTTGCATTTAGTTTTACCTAGTTTCAGATGTTTTACATAGTTTTAAACATTTTGTCTGGTTTTGAATGCTTTGCTTAGTTTTGAACATTTTATCCAATTTTGAACATTTTACTTAGTTTCAAATGTTTTATTTAGTTTCAGATATTTTATCTAGTTTTAGAAGTTTTAGACTAAACCTTGAATAAAACTAGGTTTCAGAGAATTTAACAGTTTTTTCTAGTTGAAAGTTTCAGTTTAGGCTATAACACTAGTCACAATATTTTAATATTACATTTTTTTTCTAGCTTAGATCATATGTTTTATGCATAATCTTCTTTTCTAATAATCATAGATCATTAAAAGAGTAGTGTACTAATTGATATTAATAAAAAACAAAATTGTGATGTTATTTATAATTACATTAAATATAATATTAATTCATTTTTATATAAAACTCAAATTTTTTTTCAAGTTATTAATTGTTTTCTTGGATAGCATTTTCTCTAGAGTTAAATATTTAATTATTTAAGTTACTTACTAGTGAGTATTGATGAACTTTATTTTTGCTTTTATTTATTTGCTTAATTTGATTCTTCTTTATAGTTAGCTTTTATTTTACTTCACTAACTTTACCTTCTTCTTTTCTTTAATAGCCTGAAATTTTTATATCAAGACCTTTTATAATGTATTTGTTTCAGAACCCTTTTTATGTTTTTTATCTTTTTTTATAGGCCTTTAATGAATGCAGTATTAAGCATTAGCCTTGTGATAATATAAATCTAATTTAACTCAATTCATCATTTTTTCATTTAATAAAATCAAATTGTTCAGTTATATTGCTATCTATTATATGTTTTAAACATGCTTTATTCTTGTAACAATAGCCAAGCTTAACTAGATAAGAGATTTTTACTATTTTTGTATCATCTTGAATCAATCTTTTATATTTATTAACTATTCTGTTTCAATCTTTACAAGTTTTGTTTAAGTTTTTTAACAGAATTTAGCAACAAACTTTCATAGCAGGAGCCTTAGTTTCAATAACTTCCTTAACTATTATTCTATTTTAATAAAATACCCAACTTTATATACTACTTTTATATGCTCAAGCATAATTATTCTATCTGAATTATCCATATTTGCAAACTTTTAATAGTAAGTAAATGCCTCTATTTCATCTCTTATAACTTCAATATCATCTTAGTAACAGTAATCAACATTATAAATTTCTTTGGCAAATCATATATTTGCAAAGCTTTGATAACAAACAAAGGCTTTAGGTTTATCTATTTTATCACCAATTTGTTTAGTCTTTGCAATTTCAATTTCATCCTTTTTAAAGTTAATTCTGTTTTAATAACAGTTTTTATAGTTAACATGTTCAGGTTTTTCAAGCTTGAGTTCTTTTAAGTATCTATCAATTAGACTTTCTAGAAGAACTTTTGCATTAGAGTTACTATTCTCTACTTCCAAAAAAGTTAGAGTTTGATTACTTCTTTAATCAAGTTTTTTTAGTAACAAAATAACATTAAGAAAGCTTTTGAACTTAGAATTACTAGAGTTACTGAAAACAGACTTTCTTTTTCTACAGATAAAGCTAGTTGAAAATACAAGATTAAGTATATAATATTTTTTTTGTTACCATTATTCAAGTTATTATCCAGATGAACATTCTCTAATATTTTAAAAAAATATTCTTGAACTTGCAAATCATAAAGACTACAGTCTTTTATATTTTTATTAACCATTTTCTGAACTTCTGTGGCTTGTTCTTCAGTAAGTATATTCAATAATATTATGCATTTTAACTGCTTCTTTCTTATTTTTGAGTAATTACTAACATTGTGTTTTTCTTTTCTACAATAAGAATATATAATTTTTCTTTGAGAACCTCTTTAAATTAGTTCATTTTTTAAGATGGTTTTTTAGACTTGCTGTTATTGAAGTACTTTCATTTGTGTTCTGTATTACTAATAATTCAGATTGGCAGTAATTAGTTTATAGATTTCATAAATTTTTTTGAAATCTTCAAGAGCTATTGATTATAGATAAGTACTAATCTTTTCTTTAAGTCTTTTTTTAAACCTACTATCTTACTAACACTTGTACTTACTATTCTTATAATCAGAACTACATCTGGATCTTTTTTTTGAATCTTAAACCAGAATTCAATTGCCTCTATTAAGAAAGTTAAAAACAACAATAGTCATTAATATATTAAAAATCAACACTTATGCCAATTGTTTCAACTCAGGATTACACTATGTCAAATCAGGTTGGCACTTTTCTTTTTAGAATTAGTTTTTTTTCCACTATTTTTAGCTTTTCACACTTGTAGGTACTAACCAAAACTTAGGCTAATTTTTTTCTTTTCTATAACTGTAATTACAGTACATCAAATTAGGCCAGAATTTTATCATTTTGCTAATTTATTTTTTCTCA